CTCAGCCTCAAAGGATAACCATGGCAACTCTCCTCTGAAGAAACTTGCGGCCTTTCTCTTCCTGTCCTGCCCTGCAACTGGGGGTGGGGCTTGGCGGGCGACGAGCCATGGGCCGGATAAAAGGCTTCAGTGGGTTGGATCCGGCCCACGGGCCGTAGTTTGAGAACCCCTGATCTGGTGTGACGTCTTCCTCTCTTTCTGCTCCCTTCTATCTTCCCTAGCATTATGGTATTTTCTAGTAAATCATGCCTTCTCATGATGTGGCCAAAGTACGGCAACCACAGTTTTATCATATTGGCTTCCAGGGAGAGCTCAAGCTTGATCTGTTCTAGGACCCATTTGTCTTTTTGACTGTCCAAAGTATCCTCAACTCTCTTTTCCAGCACCACATCTCAAATGAGTTTATTTTCTTCCTATCAGCTTCCTTCAGCTCTCCCATCTGTGTTCAGTTGTATATCTTTACATTTTAGGATCTAGTCTAGCTCTTTCACGGCTGCTCTTTTCAGGACAAAGACTTTGCAGCATGGTCTTTCTTTCTGGTCTTATGCCAATGACCATTGGGCATGGTTTTCCCTCAAGTGAATCCAATGGGAAGATACTACATCCTTCTCTTTGCTGAGGGAAGAGACAGCTGCTCCATCACCAGGAATAAATCATGCCATTGTGGTCTTTCTGACTCTAAAAACACAGTAAGATTTTTGCAAAGAAGAAGAAGAAAAAGAAGAGGAGGAAAATTAAAGTGGGGGGGAATATGAGAAAGGGAGGGAGAGGAGAGGGGAGAGAGAATGAGAGAAGGGGGGAGAATAAACGTGAGGCAGAGATTGTGGCCAGCTTCACAAATTGGCACAGGCTTATCAACAGCATTTCATGGTTTTCTGGAACTCTTTCAAAGGGAACTTGCCTTTGTTGCGCGACGGCTTAAGCTTTTCTGATATTTAAAGCTATGCTTAAAAGTTTATGAAAATTACTTCTTAGTTTTTCCTCTCTGTCTCTTACAAACCGCCAGTGCTTTCCTTTCTGTTTATTCTTCCTCAGCACAACTTTGTTCTTTCCGGTTCCCAGTTTCACTGTGGCAGACTGCCCGTCTTCTTCTCCTCCATCCTTCCCTAGGGTTTCAGGAAATCATTACAAAGTGGGTTAGGATAGGGAGCAGGGTTAGGATAGGGAGCATCATGTCATTTCCCAAGAAAAATGTGTCTCTAAAAATGTAAGAAGAGCCCTGCAGGATCAGACCCAAGGCTCACCTGGTCTCCCTTCCAGTCAGTGATGGCTGCTGGCTCCCATGTTATTGCATGGTAAGTCTTCTCTGGGCTTTACTCTTGTACTTTAAAGGTGTGATCCAAGGTGCTGAACATGTTTTGAAATTAGGCATCAGCACCTTGGATAGCTCCTCAAAATATTGGCCCAATACCTAAAATGGAGTCACCAATCAACTAATATGGAAGCCACCAGCCAACACTGTCTCACCAACACCATTTCTTGCTTTGTTCAGTTGCCAGTCAATGCCATCAAAAAGCCAGCATAGATAACACCAAAGAAGATGATCATGGTCATTTGCATGGAGGCTCCATTTGAGTCAGAGGAGTGGAATGGAGTCTCCTTTCTTGGATGTTTTTAAGCAGAGGCTGGATATCCATCTATTGGGAGTGCTTTGATTATGCCTTCCTGAATGGAAGAATAGGATTGGACTGGATGGCCCTGGTGGTCTCTTCCAACTCTAAAATTATATGATTCTGTGAATCAACTGGATTTCCTACATGTTATTTCATTGGATCTGCTCTCCCTGGTGTGTATGATTTCCAAGTATGGATGTGAATGCTGGACAGTGAAGAAAGCTGACTGGAAATAATCTGGTGCTGGATAAATGTTCTATGGACACCATGGATTGCCAAAAAGACAAATAAATGAGTGTTAGCCCAAATCAAGCCTGAACTCTCGCTAGAAACCAATGGCTGAGGCTGTTGCAGTTTAGGTAATAAGTAGGAAAAGAGGGAGACCACACTATAGGTGGAATGATTCCACCAAGGAAGCCATATCCC